AGAGAGCTGAGCATGTGTAGGGTTCAACTTATCTGATAAGTTGAAAGTATCGGATAGAAAGGAAATGATCAATAGCACAGAAGGAGTAGGATCAAAGGACTGGCCTTGAACAGGAAATGCACACCTCTTCCTCTTAAACTGGGGCAGGAGGTAAGGGTGAGTGCATCTGAAGGTCAACTTGTTGTGGACAGAAAGCCAAGGGGATTCATTCCCTATAGACTCGCTCTCTCATTCCAGGAGGGGCACAACCATCAAGCAAGCAAGAAGGGGTCAGGGTGGAACATGGATGGCTATTATTTAAAGTGGGAGAGGAGGATGAACAGAAACAGGTAAAATCATTCTCCACCAGGAGCCACGTGAGGCCCTGACTGAGAGAGGAGAGCCAGAGAAAAAGGGAATAGGATCTCATGCACGATCTTAGGGAGTGGACATATTTTCCAGAAAAAAATAATGGAGAAATGAGCAAAGACATCTGAGAGAAAATGGCCATAAAAGTAAAAAAACAAAAGAACACAAAAAACCCTGCATTGCTGCAGAAGCTATGCTAAGGAAGCTGTGGGTGCTCCTGCATTGGGTGCAAGTATGATCCTCTTGTTGTATCAATTCCTTTAGTAAATGGCCAGCCAGTGTAGCTCAACGGTTGAGCCTTGACCCAGGAACCAAGAGGCCATCAGTTTTAATATGCTTAATGAAAGCATATTAAAAAAAAAAAAAAAAAGGCAGGGGGTGGGGTGTAAAATGGGGCCTGGCTGGTGTGGCTCAGTGGTTGAGCATCAACCATAGTTACTGGCTTATTGAGATTTTTAGATTCTTCCTTGTTGAGTTTTGAGAGGTTGTATTTTTCTAGGAATATGTCCATTTCCTCTAGGTTGTCTAGTTTGTTGGAACAGAGTTGTTCACAGTATTTTTTAACAATCCTTTGTATTTCTGTGAGGTCTGTTGTTATTTTGCCTCTTTCATTTCTGATTTTGTTTATTTAGGTCCTCTCTCTTTGCTTCTTAGTAAGCCTGGCTAGAGGTTCATCAATCTTGTTTATCCTTTCAAAGAACCAGCTCTTGGTTTCATTGATCTTTTGTACTTTCTTTCTTTGTTCTCTATGTCATTTATTTCTGCTCTAACCTTTTGTATCTCCTTTCTTCAGCTCACTCGGGCTTTTCTTGTGGCTCTTTTCGTAATTCTTTAAGTTGTAGAGTTACATGATTTATTACCATTTTTTTTTTTTTTTTTTTTAGGTAGGCCTGTAGAGCTAAAAACTTTCCTCTCAGGACTGCTTTCACTGTGTCCCATAGATTTTGGATTGTTGTTTTTTCATTGTCATTCATTTCCAGGATGTTTCTTCATTGATCTCTTTGGTAACCCAATCATTGTTTAATATTAAATAGTATGCTATTCAGCTTCCAAGTGTTTGAATTTTTGTGATTGTTTTTATTGTAGTTTATTTCTAATATTATGCCACGTGGTCTGAGAGGATACTTGATATGATTTCAATCCTCTTGAATTTAGAGAGACTTTGTCTGTGACTCAATATGTGATCTATTTTTGAAAATGTCCCATGTGCACTTGAGAAGAACGTATATTCTGTGGCTTTGGATGAAATGTCCTGACGATATCAACTAAGCCCATCTGATCTAGTGAGTCATTTATGATTGCTGTTTCTTTGCTAATTTTTTTTTATCTAGAGGGTTTATCCAGTGATGTCAGTGGGGTATTAAAGTCCCCTACTATATTTGTATTGTTGTAATCTCTCCCTTGATATCTTCCAGGAGTTTTTTTAAATATATTTGGATGCTCCTGCATTGGGTTCATATATGTTTACTAGGTTTATATCCTCTTGTTGTATAGATCCCTTTAGTATTATGAAGTGGCCTTCCTTATCTCTTGTTATAGCCTTCACTATGAGGTCTATTTTGTCAGATATAAGTATCGCTATCCCAGATTTTTTTTCATTTCCATTTGCCTGAAAGATATTTTTCCATCCCTTCACTTTCAGTCTGTGTGAGTTCCTTGTTCTGAGGTGGGTCTCACTGCCACCCACAAAGCCCCTGCATGAACCTATTGAATCTCACTTTCTTCATATATAAAGGAGATAATTATCTTTATACCTGAATACTCACACCTTTGTTGCCCACGATAAGCACTGGACATTTCACCCTTGTCTTTATAGAGCTTCAGATATTCAAAGGTAATACTACTAAAATAACATTTCCATCTCTTAAGCACTGATAAACTTTGGCAATTGGGATTAGCTATGGACTTGAAACTAACACTGTAAGAAAAAAATGAAATTATAACCAAAGCACCAAAAAGTGAAATGGGATACACAACAGACTATTAATGTTGGTCACTTTAGATGAAGGTGAGGACACGATGGAAGTTGGAAGATTTGAATGTTATTGTAATCATTTGTCATCACCTTAAAAATGCACTATGCTTTGTAAATATTTTTCTGGGTTTTCCTAAATAAATTTAAATAGTTTGTATCTCTGTACTCATTTTCATACAAAATAATATAGAGATTAAATCTGCATTTTAGAAACCATAAATAAAGATAACTTTCTATAAACCCATATTAGTTTAAGTGAGGCAGCTTCAAACTGGAAGCTGTATCTAAAACTATCAAACATAATATGTGGCTATCCCATATTTCCTCACATCTAGTGAATGTCCTGGACTGTCACAAAAAAAAAAAAAAAAAAATCTAGTCTGGGTGAAATGATGCTTACTAAGGACAAAGACAATCTTTCATGCCAGTCTTACATAAGAATCACATTGGCAGCCAATCTTCCCAGCCATCCTTGTCTCATGACATTCTCTGCTGAAGACAAGAACAATGCAGACACTGCTAGAAGAGGAATGAGTCACAGGCAACACCTGCCACAAGCATTATCTTCAAGGTAAATGCTTGCATGAAACAGGGCCACAGAGTCCTAAAATAGTCTGAGCCTGTCACACAGTACCCAAAAGAATTACTCAAGAAATAGCTCCTTCTATAGGGACAAATTACCACATCAACATAAAATGACACTCTCATGATATTGCTCGATAGTGTCTTTAAAGAAAAATAATTTCCTGGTGATCACCCCAACATGAAAATTATAAATTAAAATAAGATCTGCTAAAAGAAGCCAAGAATTGTTTTCCAAATGTCTCTTCTCAGTTCAGGCCTACATGTTTATTTTTGTTTTTAAAATATATTTTTGTTGATTTTAGAGAGGAAGGAAGAGGGAGAGAGAGTGAGAAACATCAATGATGAGAGAGAATCACTGATCAGCTGCCTCCTGCACATCTCCCACTGGGGATGGAGCCGCAACCTGGGCATGTGCCCTCACCAGGTATTGACCTCCTGGTTCATAAGCTGAGACTCAACCACTGAGCCATGCCTGCTGGGCCCATTCTACGTTTGGAAGTCACTCCCACAGAGGGACAATAGTAGGAGCTGCTCAAGAGAATCCATGGCAATCAAGTGCCTAAGAAAGACCAGAAAGGCTACAGGCTTCCTGCTTGGAGGAGCCAGGAGAAGCAGCCCCACAGTCCTGGATCTCATGCCTCCTGGAAAGTCATGTCCTATCACAGAGCACCCAGGAAGGGATGGCTGAACACCAAACTTTAAACTGGGACTGACCAATAATGCCAAATTCACCAGGTTTATAAGTTTCCCAGAGATGCCATAACAAATTGCCACACAATGAGTGGTTTAAAACAGCAGGAATGTATTGCCTCTCAGTTCTGGAGGCTAGAAACCATAAATAAAGATAACTTTCTATAAACCCATATTAGTTTAAGTGAGGCAGCTTCAAACTGGAAGCTGTATCTAAAACTATCAAACATAATATGTGGCTATCCCATATTTCCTCACATCTAGTGAATGTCCTGGACTGTCACACACACACACACAAAAAAAATCTAGTCTGGGTGAAATGATGCTTACTAAGGACAAAGATGAGATCAAGGTGTGAGCAGGGTTGGATCCTTCTGGAGATTCTCAAGGAGAGCCTCTCTCCTAGTGTCTGGAGCTTCTGCCATGGGTTTAGACCAACGACTTTCAACAGGTGTGCCACAAGAATGTTTAAAACGGGCCATACCTGACTATTTAGTCAGGGGCACTGACCTCTTTCCCCTTAGGTTATCAAATTAAAAACTGACCACAGCCAACTCAACAGCTGACTGGTATGAATGAATCAAAATTCTATCTTTTTGTGTGTGATATTGGCAAAAAAAAAAAAAACACAAAAAAAACGTTTTTAGCTTTTAGCTTTTAGCTTTTAGCGCAAAAAAACGTTTTGAGCAACTAGTTCATGTGTGCCAGGTGAAAGCTGGAGCTCCAGGGAGCGTGGGGCCAGGCGCCTACCCTGGGCTCTGACCCCGACGTGAGAGGAGATTAGGGGTAGCTGGAGGGAGCCAGCGGTAGTGGAAGGAGGACCACAGGAGTAGAGCGGATAAGGGGAGAGGAGCTGAAGCAGAGGGAAGGAGAGGCGGGCGGAGGAAGGGGAGGAAAAGGAAGATAAAGAAAAAGGCGGCGGCGGCAGAGAACGGTCCGCCACGACCAGCGCCCATCTCCGCTCCCAATTTCGATTGGCACTGTCCAGGCCGCTTCCGCCGCCGCCGCCGCCTCCGGCTCCTGGGCTGCCCCCACCCACGGGGATCCCCGCTCCAGCCCCGCTCCATCGCAGGCGCGCCCCTTCCCGCCCGCGCACTCGCCCCCGCACTCCCGCCCTTCCCGCCCGCGCCTGGCACTGCGGGCTGGCGCGGTGGGCGGTGCTGCTGGGGCCCGCGGCCTTGAAAGTGCAAGCGCCGGCGCTGGGCCTTCAGAGAGCGCGGGCCTGCCAGCGTGCCAGCTCTTCCAGCTCCCACTCTGCCAGTCCGGCCCGACTCTCCGCGGCGGGGCCTCCTTCACTTCTCGCAGGGACTTTTGCCTCCCACCTGCACCCCTTCCCGCCCGCCCGCCCGCCTGGCTGCTGCTCCCCGGCTGAGCCTACAGGTTGGCCTAGACTAGAGGGACCATGGGCGACTGCAGGGCATCCGAGTCCCAGGCCCAGACCGCCGCCAGCAGCCTCGCCCGCCGAGGTACTCAGAAGAAAGTGCACGAGGTGAAGGGCCACAGGTTCGCCGCGCAGTTGTTCAAGCAGCCCACCTTCTGCAGCCACTGCGCCGGCTTCATCTGGGGGCTTGGGAAGCAAGGCTACCAGTGCCAGCTCTGCCGCTTTGCGGTCCACAAGAGGTGCCACGAGCTTGTTGCTCTTCCCTGTCGGGGCGCAGGCGAGGGGCCCGACGCCGATGACGCCAAGAACAAGCACAAGTTTAAAGTCCACAGCTACCGGAGGCCCACCTTCTGCCAGCACTGTGGGTCGCTGCTGTACGGCCTGATCCGCCAGGGGATGAAATGTGAGGCCTGCTCTATGAATGTGCACCGGCGGTGTGAGGCGAAGGTCCCCGGCCTCTGTGAGGTGGACCACACCAAGAAGAGGAGCAGCTCCACCAGAAGCTGAGCTCACCGGCGAAAAGCTCAGTGTCACAGGTATCCAAGCTGAAGGCGGCATGGCCTTCTCTCTCTCCTGCTTAAGATGATCTCAAGCCCCTGGATTCTTTCCAGGGGTGGCCTCAGTCGTCCCTACACTTTGACTTGAGTGACTTCCTGCCATTCTTAAGATGGACTTTTGAGTGCCTGCATCTCTGGGAAGGGGAGAAACAAATGATTTCTGGAGCTTCTGTCAAGATTCTCTCATGAGTCCCCTGGACGTGTGGCTCCATTGGTTGCGTGTTGTCTCATGCATCAAGAGGTCGTTTGATTCCCAGTCTGGGCACATGCCTGGGTTGTGGACTTGGTCCCCAGTCAGAGGACCATTGATGTTTCTCTCCCTCTCAAATCCATTTTTAAAAAAATGATTACCCCATGAGCATATAGGGACATTGACACCAACTGAGTAGGTCATTCTTGGGCAGGAATTTAATTGCTTCTAATTATAGGATTGTCATTTAGGCACCAAATTAATTACCATGAAATTACTGCAAAGAACTTGATCTTCTATAATAGAAAGTAAGTGCATTAGCCAAGTGAGGAATCTCTTAGAAGCTTGCAAACAATGTTTTAATCAATCACTAATGTGGAAACTTTCTTTTAACTCTTTGATGGGGGAGATGTTAAAGGGATCGGGACAAAAGTGGAAACAAAGAGCAGATCAATGCCTCTTTTGTTTCCCCACCAAAAGGTTGGAAAACTTGAGCTTTCGTATTTGGGAATCACTTGGTGCCCCAATGGAAAACGTCCCCAAATAGCCCTTGGCTGGTGTGGCTCAACTGATTGGGCTTCTTCCTGTGAATGTTGCCAGTTCAATTCCCAGTACGGCCTGGGGTTGTGGTCTAGGTTCCCAGTGATTGTTTTGCTCTCAAATTGATGTTTCTCTCTTCCTTTTCGTTCTTCTCTCTTAAAAAAAAAAAAAAAAAAAAAAAAAAAAAAAAAAAAAAAAAAAAAATCTTTTAAAAGAAAAAATGTTGCCAAATAAGGCAAAAATGTCACCTTTGAAATTTAAAAAAGAAAAGTTACTTTCCTCTCAGTCTGAGGTTTGTCTTCTCAGTCTCTTCAGCCTCTTGATTTTCTTTTGAGCATATAGAAAAAGAATTCTATAAAATTATACAAAATAATGGCATATTGAATAATGTAATAGAGAAAATACCCATTTGTAATAAAGGTGAACTAGAAAACAAGATACATTGTCTAAGGATTTAATTGCTGTCATTTGAAGACTCAGATATAATTTTAAAAACTAAAAGTTTTATTTCATTTTATTAATATATATATATTATAAAAAATATATATAATGAATTTTCTTAACACCTTTGAGAAACACTTCCTCTAGTGCTTTAGACCTGGCCAGTGCCAAGTTGTACAATGCATCATATGGCCTTGGAATGGGTCCTTGGGTAAACTGTTCTATGTAAATAGAAGCATAGCAGGGGGAGAGGGTAAGCGGGGGAGAGAAACACTCATGAAAAAAAAGATAAAGTAATCTATCTTTGCCCTGCCTACTTGTGACAAAGTACAAATGATATCCATTCTAGGTCCATTCCCAACTCTGCCTCAAGGCTGCGTGACCTTGAGCAAATTACTTTAATTACTTGTGCATTTATAAAATGAGGGCAAAAATGAGGCTGTTGTATGAACAAAACTGGCAGATATAAAGCACTTAGAGTTCTTGGCATATGTTATTTTTATAGTGCTGTTTGTGAGGATCTAATGGTTAGCAGTGAAACAGCATTAGAAGTTACTGGAGAATGGGCCTTGGTTCAGCAACCTTGGTACTTGAATTTAGCAAAGAAAGAGTTCAGAGCCAAAGAACCCAAATTGAAGGAGAAAGTTTACTTAGAAACTCACAAAAATAGAAGAAGTGAGCCCGCTGGGTTGTGTGGACTTGGGGTATAAGTTACAGAGACAAAGAAGGGCGCCCTTGGAGCTTAGGAGAAAGAAAGGAAAAGAAAACACACCTAGGAGAAAGAGAAGGGGAAAGGCACCAGCCTTTCCAGGGAGGGAGGGAAGGAGGGAAAGAGGGAGAGGGAAGGAAGGAGAGAGGAAGAGAGGAAGAGAGGGAGCAGGCACACACTGGGTCCTTCATCTTGAGGATTTTTAAAGGAGGGGATTTTATGGAGGCAGTCTCAGGGGAGGATCTCAATAGAATGTTCATCAGCTTTCCAGGTGTGTCCTACTGATTTGGTCTACTTTCTGGCCTCCTTGTTCCTCCTTAAAGGGAACTATCACATGACTAGCAACAGGCTAGAGGAGAAAAGATCAAGGGAGGGTCCGAATCACATGACCAGCAATATAAAAGGTCAAGAGGTCTATAATAGGCCAGGAGAGGAAAGGTCATCCTGACGGCAAAGTCCCCCACCCTACAATACTTGCTTTCTAGTTTTGCCCTTTGCTAGGTTCCCCAGGATTTCTGCCCTGGTGACATTCCATACCTGGCCTATCCTATGGTTCCTATGCTAGTCATGCCTAACTGCCTACGACATAATGATACATTTGTAATCTTTGAGAACTGGACAAGTTGATATTGTTATGTCAGTAATAAAGAGGAGAATAATATTTTCTTCAAATCAGATTATTTGGTACTTGACAAAGATTTATGGGGCTTTTCTTATATATTTGCTCAAATTTAAACTAAGCTATAAAAGATAAACTGCTATTTGAAATTCATATAACAGTATTTTAAAACTTTTAAATAAGTAAAGATTTGTATTGACTCATTATATTGGAATCTTGGGAGTCTTCCTAAATGCTCTCTAAATTTGTCATACTTGAGTAAAGAATCCCATCAGATTAACAACAAGAATCCAGTGCTCAAATTCCATCTTTGCTATAAAGAAGCTGAAAGTCTTTAGGGAAGTCATTTAGCTCTCAAAACCTCAATCTCCTTGTCCATAAAATTACTAGGTGGGAGCAGATAATCTCCAACATCATGGGTTGTATAGAATAGGATAACCATCATTGTTCTTTATCTTCTGAAATAGATTTTATGACTTGCCTTAAGTCATACATTTGGAATTTTAACAAACAAAAACAAAAAACCCTACCATTTGCCTGACTCTCAGACTGAACTTTTACTTCAGTGAATTTCAAACTTTTCAAGACAAAATGCCATAGAATTCTTCTATTATGTAAAAATTTTGAAAATAAAGACTGTTAAAGAAAAATAGATTCCATAATTCTCATCAAACTGACGCTACCTGAAAATACATGTTCAGTTTTAATCTCTCTCAGGCAAAAATAAATAAATAAATAAATAAATAAATAAATAAATAAATAAATAAATAAATAGAAATACCTCTACTAGCTTGGTGGAAGCAAAGATTGGAAACATTTCTGAAGGTAGATAAAGCCAAGTCATCCATTCACTTAGCCTGAAACCAACAAACTGCTGTGCTACTGCCCTCATGGGTCTCAAGATTGCCCAGTTTGAAGACATTGCAATGACCAATAGTACCTGATACCATCTGTAACCCCATCAATGTAATAACACTGCCTGGCAAAGGACAGCAGGGGGGCTAGCAGGTTGGCAGATGAGAAAAATGAAGATAAAACATTTTAAAGTCTCTCATTTTCTTACTAAACTAATATCAGACAAAGTAGACTTCAAGATAAATAATACTACCAGAGATTTTTTTAAAAGGCACTCCAGCCCTGGCTTTTGTGAGTCAGTTGGTTGGGCATTGCCCCATGCATGGAAAGTTTGCCAGTTTGATTCCAGGTCAGGGCACATGCCCTGGTTGGAGGTTCAATCCCTGGTAGGGTTGCTCTCACATGGATGTTTCTCTCTCCCTCTCCCTTCCTCATTCTCTAAAAACAAAGGAACAAACACAAAATAATTAAAAAAATGTTTTTAAAAAAAAGGTACTCTATAATCATACAGGGTTCCATTCATTAAGAATAAATGGCATTCTTAAATGTGTGCGCCTAATAATAGAGCTTCAAAATATATGAAGCAAAAACTTACAGAACCTCCCTAGGTGGTTTGTCTCAGTGGATAGAGTGTTGGCCTGTGGACTGAAGGGTCCCATGTTCGATTCCAGTCACGGGAACATGCCCAGGTTGAGGGCTCAATTCCAGGTGGGGGCCGTGCAGGAGGCAGATGATCAATGATTCTCATCACTGATGTTTCTGTCTTTTTTTTCCCCCTCCCTTCCTCTCTAAAATCAATAAAATATATATTTTTTAAAAACATCGATGAGCCGAAACCGGTTTGGCTCAGTGGATAGAGCGTCGGCTTGGGGACTAAAGGTTCCCGGGTTCGATTCCGGTCAAGGGCATGTAACTTGGTTGCAGGCATATCCCCAGTGGGGGGTGTGCAAGAGGCAGCTGATCGATGACTCTCTCTCATCGATGTTTCTAACTCTCTCCCTCTTTGTACAAAATCAATAAAATATATTAAAAAAAAAATCGATGAGAGAGAAATATCCATCAGCTGTCTCCTGCACACTCCCAACTGGGGATGTGCCCGCAACTAAGGTACATGCCTTGACTGGAATTGAACCCAGGACCCTTCAGTCCGCAGGCCGACGCTCTATCCACTGAACCAAACCAGTTTTGGTGGCATGTCCTGCTTTTAAGAAAAGAATTATAAAATAGCTAAATTAAGAGGTAATTAGAGTGCAAGATAATTTTTGCTCTGGATACTTGCTTGAGTGTTCCTTTAAATAACAAGATCCTTTACTACACTGATTAGATTCACAAATACATAGTTTAAAATAGCTTTGGGGGAACATATATGTTGTATAGAATCAGCTCAAAAAATATAAAATGTCTCAGCCATCTTGCTTCCAAAGAATCTCTCAGGTATTTGACTTACTCCCCGAAGTGTAAGTAACTGAGATTATTTTCAAATAAAACAGTCCTCATAGTAGGCATGTCACAACTAGTGAGCTACCTCCGTAAGTTTTCTTATAACACAGGGAGGGGAAACGTGTTGGAGAGAATCAAAAGAAGAGAATCACAAGA